GTTTTATGGACACCTCGATAGTTCTGTACGTCAGAACGACAGCCAGACTTAAATACTGGAATAATAATAGAAGTTTTCCAATAGTCAGGGAAGAAGCCATTTACGAGAAATACTGAAAAGATTTTGCTAAGCAGAGGAGGAAAATCTCTTAGTTGTTTTATCAAAGAGTTTGGGATATTGTCCGTACCTACTGAGTGAGAGTTAGGAAGATGACTTATCAGTTTTCGAATACATTCCGGAGAAAAATTAATGAAGCTAAGAGAAGCATCAGACAACGAAGGAATTAAAGGGATCGGATCAGTTTCAATGGTGAAATGCTTGGCAAAGAACGAATTTAAAATTTCTGCTTTGCCTGACGGTGAATACTGAGGGTTCCGCCGTGAGCGTCGACAGACCGCATGAGGTCGGAATGCGGGAGATGACATCAAAAACCGCGAAAATTGTCGCTATGGGGGGAAGGGTTAGCAATGGATTTAGAAACCAATTCAAAACAGGGGTTCCTAATGATATAATTAAGAGTTACCACTTAATCTACCACTAAATCCCAGGAGGACCCTTCTCGAAGTCAAGAATCTGAGTGTTCGGGAATGAGACCGTTAACAGTGCCTTTATGCTTTCCGGTGTAAGATGTTTGCGCAATTTCGACTTGAATACCAGTAACTTAGGCGATAATCTAATTTCAGGCGGAAGATTATTCCAAAGGAAGGCATATTTGGAAGCAAAGAAGAGGGAGCGCTTAGATGTAGTACAAAGAGGCGGCGGAATCACCATGCAGGAGTTGCGCGTGGCATAAGACCGATCACTCGGAGTGAGAGTCTCAATGTGCGGAAGACTGGAGCTAGAGTTGATGCGAAAAAGGATGCAAAGGCCAGCTTCGAGTCTTCTAACCCACAAAAACTTCATGTTCGCCAGCTGACATCTCTGAGTATAAGAAATACTGGACGAAGCTTGAGAGAACAGTTTCCGGGTGAAAACCCTCTGAACATTTTCGATTTTATTACGGTCGCAGGCGCTCATTAAACCGAAGAAAGGACAGCAATATTCGAGGACTGGAAGAACAAACATTTGATAAAGTCTTAGCTTCATTTCCGGAAGGAAAAAATTATGCGATATGAATCTACATATCTGCGCGGCTTTGGCAGAGATTCTATCTGCATGAGGTGATAAAGCAAGTTTATTTGTATAACTTAGACCTAGGTCCTTTATGGTGAGGCATTCTGAGAGTGGGTTATTCTGAAAAATTATGGGACCAGGAAGTTCGGTAGGACCAAAAGACATGAAACTACACTTGGATGATGAAAACTCCATCTGCCATGTCGAACCCCATCTGCTTAAGCGTAGTAAATCGGCATTAATTTTTTCAACACAAACATTTGCGGTGTCCTTAGAGTAGGAGTAAACACACTTGAAGTCATCGGCATAAGTAAAAGTTTGCGAATTTCCGAGTTCAGTCGAAATATCATTGATGTACAGAAGGAAGAGTAGCGGACCCAGAACCGTTCCTTGAAGTACGTCACTCGTGATCGAGTGGGGTGTCGAGTAGCTATTACCGACCATGACTTTCTGATATCGGTTGGACAGATAGGGCCTGATGAAGTCGAGTAGAGGCGGCCGGATGCTGAGAGCTTCCAATTTTACTAAAAGACGTCTATGGGATACCTTGTTGAAGGCTTTGCTAAGATCAAAGTAGATGACCACCACTGACTGCTGTTCCTTACGAAGAGAAGTGATTAGATTAAGTAATGCCAAGTGGCATGTTTCGCAGGATCGTTCAGGTAAAAACCCATGCTGACTATAGCTCAGAAGCCGATTAGCTAGACAGACAGTATGCCCAGGCAGTACATACATACATGTAAAACGACATTGCCGACAATAACAACAGTAACAACAACAAGAACAACAACAACAACAACAACAACAACAACAACAACAAGGGAGACCGGAGTGGCCGTTTCTGCCCCGTCAGCTCACATCGGCCGGCCATACCCAACCCTGAGTTATCCAACTCCCGATATTCGAACTCGAAGCCCGTTGGTTAGAATGCCAACCACCTAACCACTGGGTCACGGCCTGTTGATCTGTTGATTGCAGTCAGGCATATTAAAAATAGCAGAGGGATGCTCATCAATCACGATAAGGGACACATTCGTCTCGCTTTGTGCTTTGGGACTCAACCTCAAGCCTGGCACCAGCCTCTCGGTGGCTAGCAGTACATATATGTAGGCAGAACAGCATTGCCAACAACGACGAGGGAGACAACGGGTCCATTGCTCAGTGTTTAGGTCGTTTGTCTTCTAACCAACAGATTGCGAGTTCGAACCTCAGGGGTTGCACACCTCAGGGCTGGGTATGGCTGGTCGATAGCTGTTAGGAAGCCAGAAATGGTCACTTCAGTCTCATTTTGTATTTGTCGGCAATGCCATTCTGCCTGTAGTACGCGCCGATGCGCAGTTATTGACGGGGCTCTAGAGAGAGACCCAAGGCAAAGTAGGACGGCTGATTCCAACTGCGCTATCGGTGAGCTTCTCAATACCATTGCCAACATGACCGGTCGAAGCCTACATGACAACGAGCACGTGTCTCAATAGTTACGATGTAGGACTTCTAGCTAACAGGTTACAGGATCGGGCTCCAGAGCTGCACATACCGGAGTTGAGTACGGTTGGTTGACAACGTATAACAAAGCAGAAGTGGCCGCTCTCGTCTCCATTGTCTTTGCTGGTAATGCCCTTCTACCTAATATATGCATTTATATGGAGGAAGATTGTAAGGCGATCTTTGGGGAAGAAGATTTAATCCTCCGACGTTCCGTACTCGTATTCGATAGCATCACCAGACGTAGACAAAATGAGAAATGCATGGTTTAAATAGGTCATTTGTACTCACTTCTGATAGGTCCATCCCGCTGTCTTTTTATTTGCCCTTCTCTCGTGCGCAAGTGTTGCCTGACGGACTCTTATGGCACTGGTAAGTCGATGTTGCGGTTGATCGAGTTGGCGTCTGATTGCCAGGCTTCGATTCCTCCTCTCGCCACTTTGTTCTTGGTTCCGTCGGGCACTTGGGCACCGCCGAAGTCGAATCCGTGACTATCCTCTAGACTGTGCACGGCGACGTGCGATAGTACACCCTTTCACTTTGTAGCAAAGGCGCGCTCATGCATGCGCGTTCCCAGTCGTTTGTCGGTCATGTAACAGTGGTTGGCCAAACAGTCCAGAAACCCAGGGGCAGGTTGCCACCTGCGAATATGTCAGGAGTCATTTACCGCAGAAAATAAAAAGAGAAGAGAATGGACCTATCAGGCGTGAGTACAACTGGCCTACCTAAACCATGCATTTCTCATTTTTTCCATCTCCGATGATGCTATCGAGTACGGGTGCAAAACACCAGATGATTAAATCTCCTCCCCCAGAGATTGCCTTGCCCTCTTATTCCATCTCAACACCTCGGTCAGCATTTTCGCCTATATCCATATGCACATATACATATGCACATTGTGCCTAACAGGATTGCGTCAACACATTTTCGCATAAAGGCAGAATATCTCCTTGAAGGGTCTGGACGAGCGAGCAAAATGCGCAATGATTAAGGCGCACAATAATTCTCATATCAGTTTCTGTGATCAGGTTTCATGAGACAGGTCACGTACTGTAGGCCCGCCGGCAGTTATAACACTTGTGATCATCGGTCTGTCGGTTAGGTTTATGGTATTCCTCCTCTGCTTGCTCGACTTTACCTTATCCGGTATTTTGATAAATTCGCATTGCTTGTAACAAATAGGTATTTCAAGGGCACGGACATTAATTCCCCTCAAGCAGACTAAAATGAATAGGATTAGTGAAATTATTACGGCATGGTTGGTTCCACAGCCGGCGACTCTTGCTGTAAGCAGCAAAGTTCCACTTAGCCCTGAAGGCAGTTGAATAAACTGCGGTTGAAATCCGCAGGGTGTGGTCGGTGAAATGGCAGCTGCAGGGCTGCTACTCTGCTCGAAAGGAAATGGGACTCCTGTATGTTCCAAGCTACAGCATGCATAAGATTACTAAAGTTCGCGCAAACGTACGGGACAACCGCAGACTCTCCCAAACACAGTACCACTCGCAGGATTAATAAAATAAGAAGAAGCAGGTGCAAATCAAAGACCACCGAATGAAACGTTTGTTAAGTCGCCACTATCTTGTTCCGATGACTTTCGTGAGCAGCTAGGCTCCGTCTAGCAGCCACACCCCGGTAAACTCTCCTACTTTCGGACTAAACCAGGCGGGAGTATCCGAGTGTGTACCTTCACACACTGTAATTCTGCCCGCCACACATCGCATGGAGAGGCCACAAGACAACTGACCTCCCAGGCAAGCTGAATACCACTTGCATATCTTTGTATGTCAACCTTTGCATTTCAGCTCTCAGCAAGCTACTGGCCCAGTAGCTAGAGGACCTGTCTCATTCTGTTCCTGTGCATTTCTTCTCCGCCCATCACTCTCTCTACTCTGCTCGCCCAATGGCGGAAAGTCTTACTGTGAGGACGACGTGCAATCGCGTAGGCAGCCCAGGCCATCGGTCGTTCTCTCACCGAATTCCGTGACCCATAGCGGCTAGCAGTATCCGTCTGGTGAGCCAAAGCAGCCCTATTTAGGGAGAGCATTGCTTTCTCCGCGAGGAGGAGAGAGCTATGAAGGTGACCTAAAAAAGCTGGGTTCACCACAGCTGCGCTCAGACCATGACTCGCATATTGCTAAACATGCGGTCGGAACCAAAACACAGGACAAAACACTCTCTTTCTTTACCTCTGCACCCTCCAACCCACACCTGACCCCACAGACCGCTAGGGTGATTCCGCTCACTCTGGCGGCCTGGAATGTTCGCTCCTTCCTGGATAATCCCAGGAACAATCGGCCGGAACGAAGGTTGGCGCTAGTCGCTCTAAAACTAGCGTCGCCTTTGCCACTTGAAACGACATCGTGAGACGACTGCCCTGTCTACCGCAGGGCATCAACGACCGCCAGATGAACACAAGTCTGCCTTTTCGCAGATCCAACCTCATCACCATCATCAAAGCCTACGCTCCAACAATGGCCGGCTCAGATGAGGTGAAGTCCAAATTCAACGAAGACCTGCACGACCTCCTGGCGTCTATGCCGAAGGCGGATAAGTTGAATGTCCTTCGTGACTTTAATGCCCGCGTCAGCACAGACCATGCTGCCTGGAGAATAGTGCTGGATTCCCACAGAATCGCAGACTGCTACGATAATTATCTCCTTCTCTTGCGAACCTGCGCTGAATGCCGCCTCCTGCTGACCAACACCTTCTTCCACCTGCTGATGCGGAAGAGGACCATCTGGATGCACCCCCGATCGCGGCGCTAGCAACTGTTGGGCTATGTTCCCGTCCGACGGCGAGATCAGCAGGACGTGATGGTGATCAAGGCGATCTGAGAGGCCATGGCTGGACGGACTGCAAATCCGCAGGAAGTCTCAAGGTCAGCGATCCCCATAGAAGCCGAATACGGCTATGTTGTCTTTGCCTGCTTACTGTTTGAATTTCAGCAATCAACTGATCTAACGGCTGGAAGAACTGTCAGCAGCAGATGAAAACGCCTCCGTGAAGATGCGATGGGGCTAGCTGCGGGACGCCGTCCATTTGACCTTTGTGGCTGTCCTGAACCGCGCGCGTCGCGAGCGCCAGATCTGGTTCGACGGCAACGGCGCAGCCATTAATAACCTGCTAACTGAGAAAAGCCGGCTGCAAAGAATCCAGCCCGACCGTCCAACCGACGCGAGCAAAGCGGACTTTTACCAAGGTCGCCGCCTTGTGCATCAACGATTACGAGAAATAAAGGGCCCCTAGATGGCTCGCAAGGCCGAGGATGTCCAGGGATATACTGACCGCAACAAGTTGAAGAACTTCTTCACTGTGATCAAGGCCATCGCCGCGCCCCATCCCCCCCCCCCCCCCAACAAAAGGAACCGCATCGCTCCCCAGCCCCGATGGGTCAAAGCTTTTGACGGGGAAGTCGCAGATTCTGAAGCGTTGGACCGAGCACTTTCAAAGCGTTTTCAACCATCCTTCCAAAATCTCCGACGCTGCCATCGACTGCACCCCCCCCCCCCGAGTGGAAACCAACACCGACCTCGATCTTCCGCCCTCTCTTCCAGAAACTACCCACGCCGTGCAACAACTCCCTAGTGGCAAAGCACCCGCCTCCGATGAGATCCTAGTTGAAGTCTACAAGCACGGCGGTCATCAACTGATGGGCCAACGGAAGACGCTATTTCAGAAGATTTGGCACTGCAGGCAGGTTCCTCAGGATTTCAAGGACGTAACCATTGTCTATCTTTGCAAGCGCAAAGGAAACCGGTAACTCTGACAATCACAGGGACATCTCGTTAATCAACGTCACCGGGAAGATCCTCGCCCGCATTCCACTTAATCGCCTCAACGGTCACCCGGAGAAAGGACTTCTGCCGGAAGGCCAATGTGGAGTCCGCCGACACCGCACAACCATTGATATGATCTTTGCCGCCCGCCAGCTACAAGAGAAGTGCCTGGAGGTGCGTACTCACCCCTATACCACCTTCGTGGATCTGGCGAAGGCCTCCGACGCGGTAAATCGCGAAGGACTGCGGAGACTTATACTGAAGTTCTGATGTCCCGAGCGATTCAAGTACATTGTAGGTCAGCTCCACGATGGGACGATGGCGCACACCACGGACAACGACGAAATCTCCGAGGCATTCGCAGTGACTAGTGGAGTGGGGCAGATCTGAATACTCGCGCCCACCCTCCTTAGCCTCATGTCCTCTGCCATGTTGACGGACGCCTACCGTAATGAGCGCCCGGGATCCGCACCGATTGCAGGACCGACGGGCACCTTCTCGACGGCCGACGAATGCAGTACCGGATGCGAATGTCCACAACTAATACCCGCGATCTGCTCTTCGCCAACGACTCCGCACTCAACAGCAAGAGCGGAGAAGATATGTAACGGAGCGTGGATCCCTTCGCCTCCGACTGCGCCCACTTTGGAATGATCATCAATACGGACAAAACGGTAATCATGCGTCAACAGCCATCGACCTCTGCGTACAGTGCCCCCTCGCACCAGCCTCGAAAGCACCGAACTGAAGACCGTGTTTTGTACCTGAAAGGCTACCTCAGGCAGTGTTCTTTCAAGGCACACCTATGAGTGAATGTGCTACCATCAAGACCCTCGGATTAAGCTAGTCCAATAACCAAGATCTCTCTCCACACGCCGACAAAATTATGACCAAAGCTACCCAGATAAGGGGCTTTAATTTTTATAATTCCTGCTTTTCCGAAATCAAATTAAGACTTTATCGGATGTTTCCCCTTCCCATTTTTTAGTATTGTCATCCATTCTTTTGCTTGAAGAACGAAGCCAGTCTCTCTTAGATCGAAAATATTCAAAGGCATTGTGCTAGAAGAGTGTTAAGTACAGCATATACATTTCCTACTTAACTTGATGTCAGCTAATCAATCTAAAATTCCTATGCGTTTGAAGACTAGAAGCGGGCTTCTGTCAACTCTTTCGCGTTAATAATAGTTCAAATTTTCTTCGGATTTCACCCCATTAGCATGTTAGTCGCCTATACACTCTTCGTAATTCTTCCTTGATTGTACCCCCTCCCGCCCCCTCCGTCTCTAAGTGCTCCCTCTTCTTCGCTTCCAGGAATACTTTTGCTTGGAATAACCTTCCAGTAGATATAAGATCATCAGGTAATCTACATGCTTTTAAGACTAGGCTGCGTCTTTATCTGAATACCGGGTCGATTAAACTCTTATTATCCCCATCCTGCCAGAGTGACGTTCTCTATGACTTTGAGGAAGAACCATCGAGAATTTAGGGCGCTGTCCACAAATTTTCGAATCAGCTCTCTGCGTGTGGTTTCGACTTCTGGAATTTCTTTATCATAAATTTCATTTTTCGATTTTTCAGTCCATGATCGTGTCCTTCACAGGACTCGATGTCCTCCCTAACCAGCCACTCAAAGAAGTAGTGGAGTCATGTCGATGTGCATGCCTTTAGCCGCCTCCACTTCGCTCATCGTCGACCCTCATCAGGAATCCAATCGGGCCTATGAGACTTCGCGTTCTCATTCCTAATGTCAGTCCCAGCCTGGGTCCGCCACCACCTGGCATCCTCATAATCTCATCCTACCCTCGGGAGGAATTTACCCTGCTCCTCTATATTCCCTCGCGAACAATGATTTTTGCGGATTTTTAACATCATCTCCCCACTTTGACCCCCGACGATCTCTAGACGATCACGGTGGACTACTTTGTTTTCGTCATTTGCTAGTAACCTAGTCGTATAGCAAAGAAGCACCATGGCCACATCTGCCCGTGCTTTGATGGACTACGCAGCCCTAGATATCCCTTCCTCGCCTTGACTCTAAGCGGCCTATTGCCGATTTCGTTGGGTACCTCCGGTCTCGCTACCTTGACAGCTGCGTCTGCTGTCAACCCGAAAGTGCTATGATCTAATCTGCAGAGAGCTAAACCGCTTTAGCAATGTAACCCTGCGTTAAGCGTGTTAAATCCATATATATTCATGCTTACGGGACGGTCCTGGCCGACCCGAATGCTTACCATGAGCGACAGTTTTTTCTTCTCCCTGAAAACTCATTAACTGACATTCATTTTGTCTTTTTCAAAAACAAGGAAGTTTTTGCTGTCCGCTTACAGTTTTTTCATGTCGGACTGCCTATTTTATAGGCATTAACTGAACATTGTACTGCGTCTGCCTGGTCATCCTAAAATTCATTCGAAAATTTACTTTCAGTTGCTATAACGGTAGCCTTAGGGATTCTAAATAAAGCACTTCATTCATTATTTCCTATATATATGGCACTTATGTGGGCCGCAGTCACACACCCTGAAAGCCGTGTAGATGGCGTCGATCTTACTACCATCGTTCAGTGTACGAGTCAGCTGCTCGGTCGAGAGCAATAAACCAGAAAGACAGCAGCGGTCGTTTTATATACCTTCGCTGGACAACAGCACAAAATCCGATATCCGAGACTTCAGCGCGCTTTGAATTCGAGTAGATTTTGGTCACCTTCCCCGGTTATGGTATTTCGGTCATCCATCTCTGCTCAAAGTTACGCCTCGTCGAAATAAGCCGAGATATCAGCTTAGAAGTGCAATTAACCTTCGTTTTCGAGGATCACATTACCACACCCAGTTTTATGTTGTAAATAGGGTTCTCAAAGGCCTACGCCCTCTTCTCTCAAAAAACTGTACCGAACAGAACTGAACAGCGATACATTGCTAGGAAGGAGCTCCGTCATTGGGGCCCGTGGGAAATCGCTTTCTGGAGCTTAACGAAGTATCTGGCTCGGTTTAGTTCAGATCCCTCTGAATACGGACTCCAACCTGCTTCCGAAGTCAATCTTCTGTCAGCGAATTGATCGGAAGCCAGCAAAAACCAAGACTACTGACAAGCCGTTTGCGAAGGCTAAGTCGTTCTTCGTTTCCAGCTGGCATTCGATACTGAACTTCGTTTGGAAAAAGCTTTGCTTTGTGCTCAGTAAACTAGTCACTTATTAATATAAGACGCGCGCGTGGACTCCACTAAAAAAATAACTGATGCCAAACGCCTGTCATCCCATAGCAAAAATCCGCTCTTTCTAGTTAGGTTGTCTCCACCAATCGAGGTCAATTTGATCTTTGCCTACCGAGATCATTTTTCTGCGTATCCGGAAAACACGAAATGTTTCCTTTGCCACGATATTACCTCATGGAGCGTAGAACTGGGCTCCTTTTCTCACGTAAACCTTCGTCTTCTCAGTCAAATGCTCACTAACTCGGTCATAATACAAGTGGCCGTGAGGATTCAACAGATACTACCTCTGCGAAACTCGATCCCCTCCTCCCCCCACGCCTAAATCTCCCTCTCACCCAAACCACTTAACGCACTCGTCTACCTCTAAATTAGCAACAGACACAGTTGTCGTTCCTAATCCTCCTGATAGCTCTCTTAGTGCCCACGAAAATCCGTCTGCATCAGCTAGACCGATAGCTTTCCCATTTCCACAGAGTCACGCGAGTTCTACATTTCAGTTAGCTGTTGCAGGGCATCAGGAAGGTGGGATCCGAAAACTGAATCGGACGCCAGCCCAAAAGAAAGTTAGTACCATTCTATTTAAGGGCATGTCGCCTTCTCTTATATTTACTAAGTCTTCACAGCCCAGCTCGCCTATAAGCCCTGATGCTCCAATAACATCCCCAAATAATTCCCTGTCCCACTACCGGTTACTTACCAAAGCCCTGATGTTTGCCCTGTAAATAGTTCGTATATGAATTGCCCTAAGTCATTTATCCCCAAACCTTGTTCAGGTTCCCCATCACTCCAGGCCAGCCGTTCTCACGTAAGTCAACCTAACTTCTTTGACTTACAACCTACAGCTGATTTCCCACCCACTGAATTTTATGGTTGCCTACCCTTCTGTACTAGCCTCTACCTCCCTCCTGGACTCCCTCTTCCTCCTTCTCCTCCTCCTCTTCATCCTCCTCTTCCTCCTCCTTCTCCTGCACCACCACCAACACAAATTAACTACCAACAGGACTATCCTCTTCTAACTCACTTAGCATTCCATTGTCCGAAAATTATATCCCCACATATTTTACGTTCTCCGCGCAGCCTCCTTTGCTGACTACAAGTACGTCAATAACCCAAGGCTCATTGTCACTTATTCCCCAAACAACGTTAATTCACAGTTCACATATCCACCCCCAAATTTTTCGTCTCAAATCCGTTGACTATATCTTTGCTGTTCAAAGCACATTGGATATTATATTATTGAGTGTCAGGTCTGTTATAAACAAGATGGCCCAAGTCAGAGACATTCGTCTTGAAATGGCACCTGATATTATATGTTTAACAGAATCTTGGACCCATTGTGTAATCCCTGACACTTTGCCTTTTACAGATGCGTTTGATTTCTACCGTCAAGACCGCACAACTAAGTGTGGGGGCGGTCGTATTCTTTACCTTAGATCCTTCATAAAGCACTCTACCTATTACCTAGATGAGACCCCATTCACGGGACACTTCTGCTGTGCATCTGTTATTCTCTCACCGCAAAGAAAAGCAATTATTGGCCGTATCTAAAATCCCCCAAACTCTTCAGCCAATGATGATGTACAACTATGTGAAATCTTTAAACTAATTTCGGAACATGCCTTCAATGTCAAAATAATCACTAGGGATTTTAACCTTCTTGAAATAGACTGGGTTTCCGGTATCTGTCCACCTAGATTCCAACTCTTCCAAGATATTGTCAACTTTTCTAACTGGTCTCAGCTTGTGCACTGCCCACTAAGAGATAATCACATTTTAGATCTAATCTTTACCAATGACATTTCCCCTCTTTTTGTTGCCTTTAAAAAGGACCTTTTTGATGGTGACCACGTATTAATTTATCATTGCCTAACGCTTGCCTTTTCAAAGAAGACCATCACAGTTCGGACCTACCTAAATTACGATTGCATGAATAACGACTTACTAAATAACCATATTGAATCGTTTGGTTGGTATGGTTTCTCTCCTGTACTGATGCAATCGTTCTTTGTGACGTCATGACCAATGTTTTCAAGGACGTCTTAGAGTTTGTGCGCCGTAGATATTTCAGGTCTAATTCTTCAGATTCCCCCGTTTCTCATTTTCTTTGTAATAGACTTAAAACTTTGAGACGGTAGTTTCCTGACTTATCCACTACTTCTTTATCCGTTAATATTAGAATCCCAGACATTTTTAAATAACCTCAAGGATGCGCCAAGCGCACGACAGGCAAAGAGAATCACTTTCTCTCAGTGATCAAAACCCTATCGAATCCGTCGCTGAAATCTTCCGTCATCGGTCCTCCTCTAAGCGTGGTCACAGACTCCTACCCTTGCTAAACGATAACAAAATCTTCCTCATCGATGACATTGACAAGGCGGAGGTGTTTAGTGCTTTCTTGGCAAAACACCTTAATACTGAGTCCGAACCAGTGTCTTTCTTTGGCTCACTTTCAGATAGGACACTAATTACAATCGATGTGCCCTCAGATCTCATTAAGAAACACATAAGTCGTGTGAAAAACTCACACTGCTCAGGAACGGACGGGATTCCAATCTCGATTATTAAACAGGCATCTGACCTTCCCAAATTGCTTAGTCATTTATTCTCGGTTTATATTTCAAAAGGATTCTTTCCTGAAACATGAAAGACGTCAATTATTATTCCTTTCTTGAAGTTTGGATCCCGATCCAACGCTAATAAATGTCCGGGCCGCGCACGAAGCACCGTCTCTAACAAAACATTTTCAAAGAATTACTTTCAATGAAATTCTTGATTTCTGTCTAGCTAATCGGCATGGATATTGATCCGAACGATCCCGAGAACATTGCGGCTTGGTGCTTATCTACTTTGATCTTAGCAAAGCCGTCGACAAGGTGCCCCATAGACATCTTTTGACAAAATTGGAAGCTGTCGGCACCAGGCCGCCTCTACTCGACTTCATCGGCTCCAACCTATCCAACCGCTATCAGAAAGTCATGGCTGGTGATAGCTACTCGACACGTCACTCGATTACTAGTGGGACACTTCAAGGCACGGTTCTGGGTCAGCTATTATTTACAATAATAATAATAATAATAATTTTATTTAGTGCCAGTCCACAGGCATTGTCAGGGGAAGCGTTAAACACAAATCAGACCAGCAGTGAGAAAAACTCCTGTGGAAAAGGAATGAAAATATAGTTGATGGCGGTTTTATGACTTGGAGGGTTCAGGAGAAAAAACTGCTGGCGGCAAACTTTCGACCGTCAAGAAGGGGGGGGGGGTTGCACGGTATAGGAGAATATCGGACGTCAATACCTTTCATGAAGTTTGGGATAGTCAAAGTAGGGGTGTTGAGGAACAGCTGTCGCTGTTGTCCAACGAAATTGTCCCTGGTGAGACCGGTCATAGTGTTCTTCTTTACGTCGTTGATATTTTGACGGAAATCGGGAATTCGCAAACGTTTATGCCGATGACCTCGTGTGAGTTTATTTATATTCTCAGGACACCACAAATGCATTGAAATTTAAGTCCGAACTACTATGCTTGTGTTGGAGCAGTTGGAGAAATATTCCAGTCGACCTAACATCATGATCATGGGCGACTTCAACGCACCAGGAACAAACTGGAATACCCTCCAAGCGTCAGGTCCAAAATCGGCATTCGATTACCGCCTGTTGAGCAAGACATTAAATGCGTGCCTCACACAACATGTAATGTTCCCAACGAGAACACGTGAAGGACAAAGGGCAAACTGCCTGGATCTGGTCTTTACGAAAACACCAGACAGCATAGACGAGATCGCCTCCATGCCGCCCCTTGGCCGAAGTGACCACCTAGTGCTTATGTGGGATTATTCGTTATTCTCCATTTCACATACTCCAGACCACAAAAGGCGTAATGTTTGGCGGGGCGACTTCAATCAGATGAGGGCAGACTTATCCGGTCTTGACTGGGGCTCATTGTTTACGGGAAGTGCCAACGATGACTGGGAGCTGTTCAAGAATGTCCTTCTGCAGCTCATCAACAACCACTGCCCACTGACTAGTGTAAGACTGAACAAACGCCCTGGGTGGCTAAATCGCAACCTCAAGAAAGAAATCAACAGGAAGCACAAATTGTGGAGAAAATACTGCGTCAACAGACAAGCTGAAGGCTTCAAAACCTACAAGACACAGAGGAACAAACTGAGGAAGCTGATATTGCAGACGCGGCGGGAATTCGATAAGAACTTGCTACAAAAAGCAACGCAGAACCCAAAATTGCTCTACAGCTACCTCCGACGAACTACAAGGAACAGGCATCAAATCCCTTTGATAAAGACTACTGATGGCGATGAGATCGCTGATAGTAGGGATAAAGCTGCGTATGTTTCACGGTTTTTCCAATCAGTCTACACAAACGAGGCAAGGTTCCTTCCTCCCTCCACAGAAGAACTGCCGACTCCAAGCGTTAGTGATATACTCTTCTCAGAAGGCATTGTCCGAAGAGAATTAGAGGCATTGAACGAATCGAAATCGCCAGGACCAGACGAGATTCCACCCAAGCTTCTCAAGGAACTTGCCAGTGAGCTCTCTGTGCCTTTGTCGATGCTCTTTCAAACGTCATTTGACACTGGAACACTTCCTGTCGATTGGAAGCTGGCGCATATTACTCCGCTATACAAAGGAGGTAACAGGGCAGCGACGACAAATTACCGGCCCATAAGCTTGACATGCATTCTCTGCAAAACTATGGAAAGGATCATAAAGAGTGAACTGATGCAATTCCTGGAAGTTCACGGCCTGCTATCGAAATGCCAACATGGGTTCCAAGCAGGAAGATCCTGCACGACAAACTTGCTGCAATCTCTCCAGAGCTGGACCCAAGCTCTCGACGACAGGCACGCGGTCCACATAGCCTTCATCGACTTCCAGAAGGCTTTCGACACTGTGCCGCACCAAAGACTCTTACATAAGCTGAAAAAAATAGGGATCGGTGGCAACTTCCTTAAATGGATCGAAAACTTCCTTGTGGGTCGACACCAGGTTGTGTGCGTCGGTCGGGGAAAATCAGATCCGGCTATGGTCGATAGCGGTGTCCCCCAGGGTTCAGTTCTGGGACCCATTTTGTTCCTTATCTACGTGGACGATGTCGCAATAGCTTTAGGCTGCGAAGTAGCAATGTTTGCTGACGACATGAAGATATGGAGTGTAATTCGGGGTCCTGCCGACGAAAACAGACTGCAGATGAACCTGAATTTGTTGGAGGAGTGGTCAAACCGTTGGCTCCTACGGTTCGACGTTGCCAAATGTAGCATACTTCGCCTAGGCCACTCAGCCAGATCCGCCAGCACAAGAAACTACTTTCTGGGCGGTGCAGCCCTACAAGAGTTCGAAGCCCAAAGGGACCTCGGTGTGCTTACGACGAGTTCCCTAAAACCATCCGCCCACTGTTCGAGGGTGGCAAAAACCGCAATGTCCGTACTGTACGCCATCAAGCGTGCGTTTATGGACTTTG